TTCCTCCATAAGAATAACATGGGATGGGAATTCAAAGGCCACTGGGGCAGGGCCCCAAGGGAATTCACCATGTTTCTCTTTTGATGGCTCATCTACAGACCAAGACCTTTCTTTAGACACCTGTACCGAGTTTCTACGCCCAGCCGTTCTTTCAAAATAGCTGTGACAAAGAAAAACAGTTTCAAATTAATATATAGATTACTTTTTTCACCAAGCATTACTTTTTCCAACTTAATGAAAAATGCTTGTTTTATTTTGACGATTCAGTTTAATGCCATACAACTGTTTAAAAACACTTATATCTCGAAAACGGCTTGAGATACGGCAAAACGGTTGAAATTCTGGTATACTACGTGGGTGTCAACTTTTGATTATGAACAATATTACAACATAAAAAAATCAAAAAGTAAAAAAAAAATTTAACATTATTTTATATGGGTACAAATAACAGTTACCACGAAAACTTTCAAAGTCCAGACTTGCTAACACTTCCACACCTCGAAATTTGCTAAGTCTATAAAACTGTTTAAAAACTCTTATATCTCGAAAACGGCTTGAGATACGGCAAAACGGTTGAAATTCTGGCATACTACGTGGGTGTCAACTTTTGATTTTGAACAATATTACAACATAAAAAAATCAAAAAGTCAAAAAAATTTTAACATTATTTTATATGGGTACAAATAACAGTTGCCACGAAAATTTTCAAAGTCCATACTTGTTGACACTTTTCCACACCTCAAAATTGCAAATATAATGGAAATTACAAGTTACATCTTCTAACTTGTAGTCTTGTAGTGCCAGTGCGGTGTTTATTATGAAACCGGTACCTAGCCTGTTCAACTAAATATCCTCATTTCTCAGCTGTTTGTAATGGGATCGTTTAAAACTTAGTGGCGTTGGATAGGGTATTTTAAATGCTAAATAAAAGTGTCCATGACTTTTTTTCATAAAATCAGCAGGTTTTTTTGTAATTAAAGATACAAAGTTTAAAATACCCGTATTTTGAAACAGAAACATATTTTTCAATGATTATTTTTTCTTAAATACATTATAACGTATTAAAACTGTATACCTACCAAGTTTCATAAACATATCTTAAATAGTTTTCGAGAAATATCTCATTCAAAGCGCGTTCATTCAAATTCAAATAGAATCCCACAGCGCCAGCTGAGGAGGAAACGCTTCGTGTCTTCCGCTACAGTGGCGCGGCAATACAGCCGCATCATGAAACAGCGCCTAGCGCAGACCCAGTTGATCGTCTGCATTAAAGTATTATATTGTCTGTGGTCTCGTTTTTAACTCGAAGTGGAATATATATTTTTAATGGATATAATTGTATTTTTTAGTACAGTTATAGTGTATTTCTCAATGTGTTTCCCATGCTCTTTAAACTTTATCTCGCCACAAATAGGTCACTTTTAAATTTAGCAGTAAACTATAGGCTACTTTTATCACACTGGGAAAACTACTTCATCAGACTTTAAAAAATCATCTGATATTTCGTAATCCATTTATTGTTTCTAAGTTAAACACAATACGGCTGTACAATTAATTTTAGTGTAACATTCAGCTAATTGAACATCAACAAACTGTGTTTTGACCTAACCGGGAACTTCAGTTGTAACTTAGGCTGGTTTTATGCACTGCGACAGTCGCGTGTCGTGTGTCACGGCGCGACTCAAGTTCTATTGAGTTAAATGTGAGCAATTATGCACCGCGACAGCGACAAACTGTCGCGTGAGTGAATCTGCTATCTCTAAATACCCGCGACAGGTTTTAGAATCGCAGCTTCAAAAAATGTGTCGCGCGCGGTTCAAGTTCTATTGGATCAAATCGGCACGTTTATGCACCGCGATAGTCGCGGCGCGACAGTAGTATTTTTCATACTCCACGTGGCATATTCTCCATATATTTCTATTGATTAATGTTAATAACTAATATATAAATGAGTCCAACTCTTTATGTTTTTGCTATTCGATCATTGGAAAGCTAAATAAATTTTAACCTAAAGGTTAAGTTTTTAATAGTTGATATAAGTCAAAGAATACAACTATTCTATGGATGTGATCATATATTTCATTTATTTGCAGAAGATAAATATCAATACCGGTACCGGGCTGCCGCCCATGAATGAAACTGTTAGGGACACTGTTTTACAAACCGTTTGTTTTTTCCAATGCTAGGAACATTATGAATGAATGTAACAAAAATAAGTTAGGTGTAAGGCAGGGGTTGAAGAAATTGGTTTTGTTTCACAACATGTAATGCAACCTTTGTACTATATTTAAGCACGATTGTGGGCAGTAAAACCTATTCCTAGAAGTACTGTTTAGTATTATTAACCAAACCCTTTCCTCTTATATGAATTTTAAAACATATACAGAATAACAATAGCACTCAAAATACCTTTTTACTAATAATCGTGTCTTTGCAACATAATACAAATACTCATATTGCCAAAGGAACACGACTAACAATTTGATTTGTAAATTTATTATTCAATTTTTGTTATTGTCTTTACGTTAAATACTTCCTAGGTTTAGTATTTATGACCTTATCAATTACTTGCTCTGAACATTAATACAGTAGACCGTATTAACCGACCTCGTATTAACCGATAATCGGATTATCCGCCTTCGATCGTAAAATAATACAGTTTGTTTTAACCGACCTTGCTTTGAGAGCAGCTCGTTTTAACCGCCGCTTTCTAGGAATCTCGGCATTTCCGCTCCCACGCTGGGCGAACCATACGCTTATCTCCACAGGATATGACTAAGAATAAGTTATTTTGTGTTGATCACAAAAAATATAGCACAGCCTATTGTCAGTTTGTCATCATTGTTCATAGCTCAAGCGCATCTGATCTTTTTGTTATCTGTGCGGCAAATTTATAACATCATAAAGTGTGTTACGATTTTGAGAACTGATTATCTTATCGCTGGAGTAAACAAACAACGCAACTTGTAGGGAGGGCAGGAAGGGGGGTTAACAACTCCAAGGTCAAGATAGTTTTTGTGCCTCGAGCCTCCAATGAGAGGCTATAAATAAACGTCCTGTCTTGTAACAAAATGGTTGCTTGTATCTTCAATTTTGACAAAAGGTTCTGTACCGTATTATGAAGGATTTGTGAAGCATCAATTAATAAATTACAGTACCAAAGTTATTAAAATATGAATTTCATTGACTCTTGCCAGGTATTATAATATATTCCACTGAAAGTAGGCCTATTTGACTTAACCGTGTTTTGTGTTTATTTGTGACTTTTCTATCAATAGGAAAAAGGAGATAAGAGTAGTTTATTTGATAAATAATGCAGTTATGATTTCAAAATAATGATTATATAATTCCAAATGAATAGCACTTCATTATGTTATTATTTTAGGGATTGTCCGTTTTATCCGACCTTTTGAGTTATCCGACCTAGGTCCGGTCCCATTAGGGTCGGTTAAGAGGGGGTCTACTGTATTTGAAATTTCTCATTAATTACCTAACAAAGCAGAGTAAACTATCCCTTGTTACAACCAAACAAAGGGGGATTACTAGTCCCTGTCCCTGTATATATAGTCTAACATTTTATATTTTAATTTACGGTAACATTGTATGTAAATAGTTTACCTAGACGGTGATAATACAGTATTTAGTTATGTTTTACCTGTAATAAAAATGTATTATAACTATTGGTTGTACTCAAAACGTTTCTGGGAGTACTTTAAATGAAAAGATCAGCGGAACCTGGGAGAACGGCCTGCGGCGCGATTGATAAACAACCTCTTTGCGTTACTTATTACTCAATTGCACATGACTAGGAAAATTTTATTTGAAATTGCTTGGTTATATGCTGAAGAAGATCATCTCATTAGCCTAGCTACAATTTTGTCATTAGCTACAAAAATAAAAATAAAATCCTCGCTTAGTAACTTTTTCATGTCAAGGTGTGTTGTTTAACATTTTTAGTAGTTAAAATTCTAATTACGATTTAAATAAGATTATATTTATACTGTCAGATTCTGCAGTTAATGCAGATTCCGAATATATAACTTTAATTGCAGTCAACCTATCGTATGCACGGCCAGGAGCGTATTAACAACCGCGTGCTTGAGGAACTGACATATCTGCGTTGGGTCCCACATAGCGGTGCGGGAAGGTTGCCGAAATGGCGCACTTTCCATCCCACATCTCCTATCTACCCGGTGTTCCAGTTGTTTTATATACTTCGATGGTGATGACTGACAAATCCTTACTAGGTAGAGGGTTTCATTCAATACAAAGGCTTAGTTTGTACGGGTTAACTTACTGACGGCTGGTTTTATGCACAGATATTATGTAGTTGATTTTATGTAGAAATTTAATCCGCCCAGGCTCTTTGGCCGTACGATTAACAGCAAACATAATTGCAGGGCATCTTCATTGTATTGTGCAACAGACGTCAGGCATTCCTAGTTTTGTTGACTTGGGTTGGAGCATTTGTAATGTTCATAAATTTGTGTCGATGGGGGAATTCGGCATTCCCAAAGTACTGTGTCAGCTACAGTAATTGAGACATGGCATTCAAGACTGTCCCTTGATTCCTCTAAATACATTGAGTCAAAAGGGTGTGTTTGTGCTGCTCATCTGTCATCCCACGCTTGAGCACATCCTCAACACTGTTTGAGCTCTTTACTTACCCCCCCCCCCCCCACCCACCACAGAAGTAAAATATGTGTTACCCTAGCATCTGTTTCCCAAAGCAGGACACTGTGCTAAAACCAGCCTCATAGTGACAACTACGTACATCAACTTGTTAGGTACAATTAACTTAAATTCAAGCACTTTCAGTGGTTTAGAAACTGTACATGTGCTTGTTTAATTTGTAACATAAATAGGCTATTTAAAAAAAATTTGATGATAAAAATAGGAAATAAATTGGTTAAATTTGATATACAGTATTTGATTTTAATTTAACTGTTTCATAAAAATTCATTAATTAATTATTGATTTATTGGTATGTGTTATTTCAGGCTGTCCCATATCTTGGTTATATTGGCAGCTGCTTAGTTCCAGGGCATACAATTCGTCTACAAGGCACAGTTCATCCAACTGCCCAGAGGTAAGGCCAGATACAATTAACTACAAAAGCTGAATTCGGGATCAAAATTGATTAGACAAGTTGCTATAGGCCTATATAGCAATTGTGTATTCAGAAATATTAAAGCAGTTTTGCAAATTTACTTATTTTGGTGGCCTTTTTTTAACCTAAGTAGGCCTACTAAAAGACCTTTTCATTTACGTAGGTTTGCGATAAACCTTCAATGTGGCCCAAATGTCAACCCGAGAGATGATGTAGCCCTTCACTTGAGTCCTGACTTCAACAGAAGCTGTGTCATTAGAAACAACATTCTTCACATGAACTGGGGTCCCGAGGAATCCTATGGCCATTTTCCATTTATGAGGGGACAACCCTTTGACATCCTGGTTCTGTGTGAAACTCGTTGTTACAAGGTAGGCCTAACAGTCGTAGTAAAAAAAAACCGTAGTAGCAATATGACACATACTTTCTTTCATTAGCTTGTCAAAAATCTATATCATGGGTAAGTGGTGGAAGTAACTATGATCCATTCATACTTGGCTTAAAATACCTACTTTGTATGGTCGCCGTTTCAATGTAAAGAAAGTATAAAGTCAAAGTATAAAGCACCATCAGAGCATTCCTACACTCAGTGCGCATCTTGGTAACGTAAGCATCATACTTCTCGTACTTTATCTGCAATGGAGTGTTAAAATGAGTGCTGCCCTGCTGCCAGAGCATTTGACCGCCAGTTGTGAGTTGGGCTCAGTGATCAGATTTTTCTTTGAGGAAATTCACATAACAATGAATGTAATCGCCAGATTTGGGATTTTTATTGGAAAGGAATAAAGGTGAAGGTCGATTGAACAGAATGGTCTTCATCTCAACTGCTCAAAAACCATACTTGGGAATAACGAATAGAAGTTCTAACGATTAGCGATATTCATTAGTTTTTCAGCTAACTTCTATCATATTTGTTACTTTTGTTAGTTTTTAAAAAGTACTGGAAATACTCAGGAATGGCTTAAAACTTAAAACAAACCCAAAAAATATTACTGGTCGAACAAAAAAAGATGACATAAAGTTAAACTGTTTAGGATTTGCTGACGATCTGGCTCTTCTAGCTAATAACATCCAAGAAACCAAGCAACAAATAAAATCACTTCAGGAAATAGCCCAAAGCATAGGTCTAAAAATTTCTTTTGAGAAAACTCAAATAATGTTAACAAAACCACCATTGGCTAACAAAATCAAAATTGGAGAACATTGCATCAAAATTGTAGAAAATTTCAAATACTTAGGTGAAGGGTAAGTTTCTACTTATAACATACAATTTTAAAGAAAATCCATCATGGCAAAATAGAATTAATAAATTGATTAAAATGCAACATATTAATAAAAACACATACAACAAAAAATGCCTATCAATAGCAACAAAATTGAAACACTACAAAGCAGTCATATTTCCACAAATAACATATGCAAGTGAAACTATATTTAAAACAACCAACACTGTAGCAATAGATAAAATACTGAAAATAGAAAGAAGAATCATCAGAACATGTATAAACAAAAAATAGCAAACAGATGGAGTTTGGGGACTATGGCCTCAAATAAAACTGTATATAAGGAAATAGAGCCATTGACAAGTATAATTAAAAATAAAAGAATTTAATTCATTAGGCATCTTTTAAGGACACCGGAAAATAGAATAGGCCTAAGCAAGAAAATAATTGACAAGTTGTGGAATATCAAGAGTGACTTTAGGTGGATTACAGAGGTTAAGGAGGGCATGAGAAGGTTGAAAATATCATTAGAAGATTTGCAAAATAAGTCAGAGGCGCTTGCAGTACTCAAAGACAAAAATATCATCCTGCCAATAGGAGCAAACAATCCTTTGTTTTTTAAGCTTTTTCAAGCTATTTTTACAAAAATTTTATTGCTAACAACTTGGCCTAAAACAATAATTTTTAATGAATTGAGTTATTAACTAAACCACAAGGTCCGCAAGTGAGGTAATTATCGTTCACACACAACTCAAAAGTGTGCCCTATTTTAATTTATGTGTGCCCAGCCCGTTTGGACAATATACTACAACAGTGTGCCCTGTTGCCAAATCTCCCTCGCCAACTGTGTATTACAGAGTTGCCGTTTCCAGACGGCAGACGAGAAGCAGCCTACATTGCTCATTCTCGCTTTTCACGCATTTAATGTTCCTTATTTCATTTTGTAAATTCTACTACACCAATATTTCATTTTAAGTTTATGATTTTAAGTTTTTAAATACATGCTATCTTTCTGTGCTAAACTAAGCAAAATTAATGGAGAATTGATAAAGTTGAAAGGTTCCCTATTGATAGACGTGTATTTTCCAGTTTTAAGTAAGTTATATGTAAATTATTGAGACATTTACTTCAAAATTCTGGGGTGGCAAAATACCGGGCTCCACAATTCTGTCACCCCCAAATTACGCCTATGCAAGGAAGAGGGGTTTCGGAAGAAGAAAAAAAACAACGGTCGGAAAGAATGAAGAAGTATTGGGCGGACAAGAAGAAGAGATAGAATTTAAAAAGAACCTGACCATTATATTGACTTAAGTGGTCCAATGCTGGCCATAAAATAATAATAATAATAATCGGGAATGTGAGCTATCATCATACCACATTTAAACCCTGTCGGTTTAGTATTGTCACAAACATACATACAAACATCCATCCATCCATCCATACATCCATACATCCAAACTCTCTCACTTATTAGTAGGATAATGTAATTAGTTGTAAAAAAAACTGACTTGTCATATGTTTACTGGTGATGTATCACAATTATGTAATTTCTGTGTGACGAATAATCATTTTATTTGTGCATTGAAAAATGGCTTTAAAAAAAACTTAAAAAATTGCTTAAAACTTTGATTTGCTTGATCGGTGTAGCCTTCCTAGAATGTCAGTGCTGCAGCAAGTCTCTATTTTTTGTTCGATCCAAAGTAAGGTGTGCAGCTTTTTGATGGTTCCAAACTGGACCCAGCTGTCCTTGATCATCCCAATAAAGAGACCCATCTCATCTCTCCAATAAAAGACCCATCTCATAATAAATGGTCCTGACTAATGAAACAGCTGGTCTTAGTCAGTAACAAAGCTACACAAGACATCACATTCCATCCTACACTCATACATACCTCACTCACATTTGGGTTAAAATACACACTTAAAATATCATCATCATCATCATCATCTGTTAAAGTCTTTGGAACCCACCGGGCACAAAATTTGTGGTGACCAAGTTTTTTTAGGCAACCAACTTCTTTAAAGTTTGGAGAGAATGTTCTATTAGTGTCATAATAAATTGTGAAATGGCGATTTTCACAGAATTCGCCATTGACTTTCCCAACCTGTTCAACAGCCAACATAGGTTTAACACTGCAGTCCTGATTGTGAAATTTGTTCTGGTGCTTTTAGAGTTAATATCTCATTCAGCCCTTTCACTCCTTTGCTGTGAACATCAAATATCTGGCAATCTTATATACTAAAAAACTTTTGCAAAACTTATGACAGCTAGCCTGACCATACCACAAGACCGAATTACACGCGGTTTGTACCAAATGGAAGATATTTACCTGTAGATGTGCAGAATCCCTTTATAAATTAAAATAGGCTAAAAAATAAGCACGAAATATGAATTTGATATTAAAAAAAATTTACATGGGTGTTATGGGTTGCCATGCTGGTGACAAAATAACAACATAATATAAACAGTAAATCTAAACAAATTCCAATCACATGTTTTATTTACAGTGAGGGGTGAAAATAGAGAAGTCTGTACATTACATATTTTTGTTAGAGTTTTCGACAACGGGGCGACCTCTAGGAACCAATATAAAAATAAACTTTTCTTATGGAGATTTAACATGGGGCCAACATTCAAAGCTTAAGACAGCTAGCCTGACCATACTACTGGACCGAATTACACGCGGGTTGTACCAAAAGAAAGGTTATCGGTCCTATATGTGCAGGTTTTATTTGTATTTTTAAGATATATGTTAATTGGGTCAAAAATGGAAATTAAACTTTTCTTATGGATGTTTAACATGGGGCTAATTTTTAAGCTTACGACAGCATACTACTAGACCAATTTACACGTGGTAGGTACCAAATGAAACGTAACTGTCTGTATATTTGCTCATTTTGCTCAGATTTCAGGTATTACTCGACTAAATATTATAAAAACGGAAATTAAAATCTTTATTGACAGTTTAACATGGGGTAAAATTTCAAGTCTAGTGAGAGTAAGATCTAGAGTTCTATTGGAACGATTTGCATGCAAGTCATGTTAAATGAAAGGATATCAGTCCTATACGTGCAGGTTTTATTTGTATTTTGAAGTTATTTATGTTAATTGGGACAAAAATCTTAATTCAACTTTTCTTATGGAGATTTAACATGGGACTAATTCTATATATTAATAGGCAAGCATGTTTATTGAAAACCTTTTTACTCAGCTCCTGTACATAGCGGAAAATCTACGCATACTGTTAGAATTTTCCTGTATATGTGCAGAATCCCATTTTAAACTAAAATAAGCACAAAAAATGAATTAAAAAAAATAACATGGGCCTTATATGGTTTCCCATGTTGGTGACAAAATTACAAAAAAAAAACAAAAAAAAAACAGAAAATCAAAACAAAATGGAAGAAATTCCAATCACATGTTTTATTTACAGCTTGGGGTTAAAATAGAGAAGTTTGCACAATACATACTTTTGGTCGAGTTTTCGACCACGGGGCCAGCTCTAGTAAATGTATATTTGATTTTCATGTTTTGACAACAAAAAATTATCATAGAGCACAACACACAACTGGCCAGATTTGCAAAGACAGCGCTAATTTTAACAATGTACTGCAGACAAAGTACGAGTGATAGATATGATACAAAATCTCCTGTAGCTAAATACGCACTGAGTATAGGAAAGATCTGATGCTAAGATGGAGGCAATACCACTGCCCCAAGTAGCCCTAGTGTGAATCATCTTTTATTTTCTGGGTGGCCCTTGTAATTCATTTAGTATGTTTTACTTAGCCTACCGTGATATATAAAAAAAATTCCTCAAATTTGAGAAAGACCTTTTATTAATATATCGTGTTTATGAATGTAACCATATCTTTTGATTCACATTTGAAAATCATCAGTGTTCCCCTCAACGTACCCCTTTTCGTAGTAAATTTCCCCTGGTCTAGTGCTGGACCTGTTTATATTCCAGACTCCTGATTAACTCTAATAACAAATAACAAACTTAATTTCAGAGGATTTTTTGGAGAAATAGTTAAAGAGTCCAGGAAAAGTCATAAAACATAGCATTGATATTTTGTCCTAATAAAGGACTTCCCCATATTCTTTGAACAAGTCCTATAAATTTTGGCTTTCCTTTCAAATACAATCTTAAAATTTTGTTACACATTGAAATTACAAACAAAAAATCAAATTTGTTAACTAATGATGGTTTATTTGGAACAAAACTGATTTGCAAAAGGCCCTGATGAAAAACAGATGACCGATAGTTTTCATCTGGATGGTAGGTTCATAAGATCTCTTTAGCACGTGGCGACATCATAATGGTTACTTATTAGTGTTACTCATTCATGTGTTCTCTTTTGTTTACAGATTGCTGTAAACGGACAGCATTTTACAGAATTTGAGCATCGCACACCTTGCAATCGAGTGACACATTTGACAGTTGATGGTGATGTCAGTCTAGTGTCAATTGAATATGGCAGCGGTTTAGTTGGAAGCCACATAAACATGCCAATGCCTGGAGCAATGCCAATACCTGGTGTTATGCCTATGCCTGGAGCCATGCCTGCACCGGGCTACGGTATGCCTGTATCTGGTCACATTTCTCCTTCTGGCTATGGATATCCAAAATCACCTTCACCTGGACATTATCCTGTAAGTAATCCATCCCATATATTGTGTAAGAGCTTTTATATGTAGTTTAAGACACTTTAAGACTCATATAAAAAGCTGAATTTTTGTTACAATTTATAATTTTTGCACGTTCCTTTGTAGCAGCCATGTGACGGGTCCTACTTCTTTATAAAGTATTTTTCTGTCATAATTAATAACAAATGTTGCTGTTTAAAAAGGTGGTTTAATTTCTATATATAATATAAACTTACCTAGTAAATTTTAGTTTCTTATTGAAGCATGTTGATTAATAATAAGTAGGAAACTTGAATAAGACTTATGGCCTATATTCCAAATTCCTATACATCACTCAGGTACGGAACTAAAGTAACAGTAACCAAACTCCAATTTACCATGATTTATAACCTAATCTATAAACTTTGTCTAATTGATCCACACATTCCATCCTTATGTTAATCAAAGTTGTGGTCAGTTTTTAGTCAAAATGTTCTGTGATGATGTATATTACTAATTAATTGTTGTCAAACATGTGTACTTTTAACCAAGTCAGACTGATAGACTGATTATTGTTAGCTATAGTATCTTTTATGACTTGTCAACTATCTTAGTAACAAAAAATAAGGTAGTAGAAAATATAATTTTAACAAGTATGTACTCTATGTGACTGGCTCATTCAACTGGTGGTCGGTGGCTCAGTCAGTAGCGTCACAGACTTTGGCCCAAGGCAGCAATGTTGTGGATTCGGGCCCTGGTAACTGCCGCTACTTTTTATCAGTAACATACAGTTCACCTTTTTACTGTACTGGCTCACCCCTTGCGTTGCTGGTTACGTTCCACGCACAGGCCCATAGCCTATGTGGACGGGCAAATGCAAGGTTAAAAAAGCCACCCTCAATTCCCTGAAAACCCTGGTATCCAGGTACCCGAAGGGAGTGATAACTTGTTGACCTTTCCTAACACGTACCGGAAATTCCACACCATCTTAGAGCTGATAACTTATGCGCTTAGTGCTCCAATGGCAGCTTGGCTATCTGACAGGATAACAAAATCCCTTTTCTTGTATCCTCTACTCATGTTGAATTGGGCACACCTTTCAATGGCCTTAACATCAGCCTGAAAAAAAGCTGGGGGAGTGCCCCAATGACTCATTGTATTTGGTTCTTGGCCCAAATACCCTTAATCCGGCTCCCTTATTCGTTTTGGAGCCATCAGTGTACCACCTGATGACATGATTCCCAAATGATTTTAGGGGTTTTCCATTACAACCAAGTTTATTCCCTAGCTCAACAACAAAGTTCTTTTTGAAGTTGTACTTCCTTACCATAGAATCCCTTGGAAGGCACATCAGATACCTTAGACCTGGTGGGAATAACTCACCACAAACACTGGAGGATATGTTTGTGTTTGTGCCATTCTTCTCCATTATAAATAAAGTCTCCCTGTCTATTCTTTCTACCATAATGTGTAGAGGTGTCGAATTCAAAATCACTTTTATGGCCGCAGTTAACTAAATCATCTGCATATCTGATACATCACAAACCCTTCCTGGTTAACTTCCTAAGAAGTTCATCAACCACCAGACTCCAGAGAGAAGGGGGGGGGGGGTAGTTGTAGTAGTAGAGAGAAAGGGGGGGTGCCCCACCTTGAGGACACCCCTTTTCTCTCTTCATTTGATTAATTCTTTCTTCAATGTGTGTTTCCAGTGTTCTTGTCAATAACATATTTCTGATTCATCTGTTTATGGTTCCATCAACCCCTCTTTTTTCTAGCACCTCCCTTATTGCTAAATTAGAGGTATTGTCAAATGCTCCTGTCATGTCCAAAAAGGCAAGTATAGCCTTTTCTTTTCCATCCATTGCTTGCCTGATCACTTTTGTCAGCTCATATAAAGCAGTATCTGTTGATTATCCTGCTCGATATGTGTGTTGCTGGTGATTAAGAGGAGATATCCTCAGCACTTCTCACCTTATATGCTTGTCCACCATCTTCTCCATTGTTTTTAACAGAAAAGAGGTGAGACTTATAGGGTGATAGGACTTTGGATGACTATTATCCTTCTTACCTGCTTTTGGGATGAAGATAACCCTAGCCCTTCTCCTTTTCCTGGGAATATACCCAGGGCTAGACTGCTCTTTAACTTTTAAAAGATAGGGCATGACCTCCCTTTTTATCTCTTGGAGTAGTGCTGGAGGAAAGTTGTCTGTACCAAGGCGACTTGAATGGCTCAAATGAGTTGATAGACCACTCTAACCCACTGCGAGATGATGGACCTCCCAGGATAAACATCTGGGTCATCACTATTTTACGTACATTTAACTTGCATTATTTTTATTTTTTAGCTATCGTAGTTATCCACTTGTCTGAGTCTACTGTAAATCCTTTTTTAATAAAAACTACAGCTTCTCCCCGTTTGACTTCATAAGTATTAATAAAACTATTGATTGGTTAAGTTAAGCTGAAATAAACAAAACAGTAATACAAACAAATAATTACACATAATTTTAATAAGGTAATACAGGTAATACTGTAAATTCAAAGAACAACAAACAAATAAGTACAGCTGAGGTATTTTTAACATTAGGTATATTAAAGGTTCCCTTTAGAAAGGAATTACGACCTTAAAGGGCAATTTATGAAATTCCAAATTATGGATAGTTTTGCGCAAGGTTTCTCGTCATGACGAACATTTTAAGTAAATGGTTCATGGGGGTGTGACTTACAGTTTTCTCAAAAGTTCATGGGTACTTTGAGATTTATATATGGATTGGTGACAGCCGGTCCATGTACATGTTTACCTTTTTTTTTACCATTGTCTAGCTTTTTAAAAACTATTGCTTAGTTGAAATTTTGTGGTTTTTCAGCCAAACCCAGCGTCATATCCTGCTAGTTATCCTACCCAGTATCCTTCTCAGACATCTTTGTATCCGGGCCAGCACCCGGGTATTAACAACAACTTCCCTGCTTACAAAAAACCTTCAGTGTTACAACAAGCTGGGATGGCTGTTGCTGGCACTGCGATTGGGCACAAATTGTTGGGCAAAGTGAGTCTTGTCATCCTTTCAATATGCTTTATGCTTTCGCTTTTGATAAATTTGTCCTACAAGGAAAAAAAACAACAGTACACCCTCTCTTAAACGACCCTCAAGGGACTGGGCTTAAGTCTTATAACCAGAATGATTGGTTAAAAACAGGCAACTACGAAATAATGTAAAAGTACTAAAAAAAATAAAAATGTAATTACAATCTTACTAATATTATAATCTTACTAATATTATAAATGTAAAAAGTTTTGTGTTTGTTTGTTAAAAGTTCAATCACACATTAACTACTATTGGCGGATCAAGCTGAAATTTGGTGTGATGATAGCTTACATTCCCGATTAACATATAGTCATACTCTTATCTCAAAGATCCTTTTGGGCTCCGCCCCAGTGGCTCTGGAGATTCCCATGTTAACCTTATCAGCATCTATAATATTAAAACGTGACAGGGTTTTTTTATTTCACGATTCTGAATCAAACACTTGACGAATTTTCATGATTTTTGTGTTGAAAGAAAGATAATTTTGAGAACTAGGGAATGTCGAAGCCATAATTTTAGTTTAGGGTTTCGGTTTTTTAGAAATTAAGTTTTAATTTTTTTTAAGTCTAGCAGCCGACGCTAACATTCTAGATTAGCTTTTGGTATAAAACGATTTGCTCAACGTAACAGCTGTAAACATTCAGAGTTTGTGACAAAAATTCAGCATTTGGATTGAAATGAAATGACGTACGTAGGGTTAACTTATTTATATTATGTGTAATGTTGTTATAATAATTTATACATTCATTTATTTGCCAAGGGGATGACAGATGATTTAAATATACATTGTAAAATACTTGATGGTCTAATTTATTTTTAGAACAGTCTTAAAAATATTGGGTTTGTTTTAGTGGAATATAATTTGATTGAACTAACAGCTGGATGGATATAAATATTCTATAGAACTATGAGGTTATTTTATTTAGTCATTGATTATAGGGAATAAGTAAGATTAGTAGAGATTAAGTAGATCAAAGAGATAAGTAAGACCATTGCCGTATATGAATCGAGGCTCTGCCCACGAGTCTTCAAAGAAAAGCCTATGCAAATTATTTTAAGGTTTTTTTTTCAGAGATAAACAGATGGATGACATAGATTAGACACGATTTTATCATTGACCTAGGATACTGCAAGTAGACTTTCTATCCTTTTGCAAAATCTAAAACGTTGATCGGGAGCGTTTCATAAACTCCAAATTTCACAAACTACAACGCTTAAAATATTAAATGAACAGAGCGGTTCATAACCTCCAAATTTCATAAGCTCCAAATCTATAACATTCAAATAATCACTGTTTCACAATGTCCAAGTTTCACAAACTCCAACGTTTAAATATTAAATAAACAGAGCGGTTCATAACCTCCAAATTTCATAAGCTCCAAATCTATAACATTCAAATAATCACTGTTTCACAATGTCCAAATTTCACAAACTCCAACGTGAAGATACCAAATAAACAGTGCGGTTCATAATGTCCAAATTTCATAACCTCCAACGGTACAGTCTGAGCCAGAAGTCTCTACAGTGGTTGCCACAGCTTATTAAACGGCCCCAAAACTCAATGTTCCGCTTCAAAATAACTCGACATTTAGCCTACTTAGACTTAAGTTATATGGTTGAAACTTCGTATGAGTGGAGTCAATAAGTCTATGACACTATTGGTTTTAATTAAAAGCTTAAAAGTTAGTATTTTCTATTTTAAATCTTCAAATAAAGTCGGTACTTTTAAATGAGTTTTAAAATATGACATGAAAAAGTTCGTCGGCTGCTACTTTTTTTATTTTTTGGTCAGGTAAGTTAAAAAACGGTGGGTTTTGTAGCTAAAGAATTGAACCTTTTGGATCATATTTTTTAAAATTTTTAGCTGGCGTAGTTTGGTTGTAATTTAAATTGTAATATAGGGGCTACCCGCCGCGCCGCGTGGCGTCATGCGGGCAGATTCTGCCTACAACGTCACTTGTAATACAGTTTAGATACTCAAATTTGGAGCTATACAGGAAAGTTACTAAACTAATTAGAAAAACACGGATTACATATAACTTTTCTTCGTTTTATTCTTTGTATTCATCTAAAAATTAATATTTTTTAGCTCTTTCATAAAAATTAATATGACAGTCAGAATATAAAGGAGAGTTGTATAAAGAGTTTCAGAAATTATCTTGTCACTTTGAAAATTCGTAGATTGTAAACCAAACGTCAGAACTTTATCAAACTTTAATACGATGTAGATACATATATTATAAACAGATTTGTAGCTTTTCAGAATTTTCCTTTCGCCCAAAAAGTTGTTGTTGTTAATTATGTAAACTAACTTTTTCTAAGAAACGGTAAACGCTAGAAAAAAATCAAAAGCGTATTTTGAAGGTCATTGTGTTAGTAACACAAATATTTGTAATACAAAGGCGTATTGTCATGGATACCATTGCTATCAACTAACATTTAATTAGCTGCGCGTGCTACTAGGGCTCATCACAGCCGGCAGCCGCCATCTTGTTGTAGATTAGTGAAAAATACTGGCTTCACGTCGCTCCACGCCTTGGGGTTCGTCCGATAGGTTGCGTCATAATTGCTGCGCAGTGCTGCTGATATTGGCACAACTGTTAATAAGAACTGAATAACTGGCATAACTGAATAAGAATCTGTTACATAATCATATTATAATAACCTACAACTTTATAATAATTAAAATTGGATTTGTAGTGGTAGTCTGTATTATGCATTTGATTGCGGCGAAACCCCAAGTATTATATGTAGTTTGGAGGCCGTGTTTTACATTTTAAACCAAATGTATTCGTAATAATATATTTTTTTCTTATAAGAAAATGCATCTAGTTAATATATAGCCGAGTAATTAAGGAATTACACTATTATTTATCAAAAATCCATACGATTTTCGAAAAAAATAGCTGTACGATGTAGATTTTGTTAAACTTATTATTGTTATAACTTTTTTATTAGTTAAGATACAACTTTTTACCCAATGACCTTTTCTATTGGTAATATTTTTTGGATTAAAACTACGTTTTAACCGATGTCCTATCTCGTACCGTTCTCGACCTATAGTCGTCTCGATGCATAGCGCGTTCCGCCATCTTTGCCCCCCTCCCCCCAAGTTCTCGACCACCTGAAAAGTAGGCGACATGCGTATTTTTTATCACCACGGTCCATATTACAACTATCAGCAAAGATATTTGATATTACTTCTTTGCGACACTCACAAATTAATTCTACTTTCGGTTAAAAAACTACACGAAAAGTCCATTTTTACATATTTTATACAATAACTTGTTTATTTATAGAGATACGACCTCGGACCCAATAACCATTATTGTTGTCCACATTTTTAGAATTCCAACGACGTTTTAACCGATGTTCTATCTTTTACCGTTTTCGAACTATCAGCGTTTTAACGCATAGCGCAAACTGCCATGTTTGCCCCCTCCCCCCCACCTTATCGACCACTTTTGAAATAGGCGACATACGTAATTTTGATCACCTCAGTCCATATTACAATAATCAGCAATAACATTGCGTACTACTTTCATGCATGATCAAACCCCCTCAGCTCCTGAACTAATTGGTCTTATGTGATCGTTGGATCGTATACAGCAAAGCAAGGAGTGAGCTGGTACAGTACAAACCACCCGGCTTAGATACCACCACCATTATACACATGTTTCGATAGAAAATATTTGATCTTTTTTTACTTCTATTATAATTAAGCGTGTTTATCGTAAGTATAGTATTTTGTTTATCGATAACTGCTTATAGACCCAAAACAATACATGAAACCGGGTATCTCAAATAGAACAGGAAACACATTGATTCTTGGAATCTTGCAATTTTTACAATCATCAATACACCGTGCCATCTCCTCGCGAAACTACTGGCTGAGGCTTGATAATTATGTTTCCCACGGCAATAACACTAACTCTGATAAATATCTTTGATAACTGTGGTTCTGAGAAATGAATTTATACAAACAGCCTACCGATCATACCTCTACTAAACCTGCATGCAGGTATGGACGGTGATGTGATACAACTTATCAAGATTCCATTAATAATAATAAAGCGATTGAAGAAGGCTGGTCCCATCGACAAGTAGAAAATGAAACTATAAACAGTGGCAAAGGATGTACAAGTATATTGATGAATTCTTTGAGCGTTAAAATAATATCAACTCAGTAAAAAAAAATTGTTACAATAACATATTAATGTACCAATTAAATATTTAATGCTACAGTATCTAAACACTTGAAACCTTGATGGAGAATCAAATTATTAGTCCAGTGTGGCGGTAAAAAATATACCCTATCATCAACGATCCCGCTGAACATTTAGTGGCAAGCATAAGGGATAAAATCTAAAGTAGGCATATTCTGATAAAATATGTCAATCCAATTATACCATCAACAGTAATACCATTACATAAACTTAAAAAAAGTAGTAGTAAAATTAATTTTCATTGTTTTTTAGTTTAGAAATCCAACTCAAATTATTATAGTGAGAAAGTTTGGATGCATGGATGAATGAATGCATCTACTTGTCTTACTCAAATTATAACACAGTAAGACATATTTTGAGAACACTATCATGAATTTTTTACTCTTTTAGTTGTGTATGTATCATTTGTTCGTGGCATTTTTGCAATGGAAAAAAGTTTTATTACTCGCAGAAAAAAGACTCGTGCATATTCTAGCCAAACAAATAATTCCAAAATTTGTTTCTGTTGCAAGCAATTAAAATCCATTGGGTGTGATTAAAATCCAAAGGTGAACGACGATAGATTTTAATAATATCAATTAGACTCGCTCTGGACACAGCAGTTCGGCCTCGTAGAGGAAGAGCGGCGCGCATGGAAGGGGCGGTGCGGGGTGACAGCGATAACGCCATTTTACCACCAACAATATCTCTCTCTTGACCTTGAGCTCGGTGACAGAGCCTTGCTCCTTGCTAACT